AAAAAAATGAAAATCTAAAATTACATTTTACTTGGTAATCAAATAATGGGCCTATATGGCTATATCCGAATTAAGTCATTAACTCGAATTGAGTACTTGCACTTTTAATTTCAAGATTGTAGTTGTTTGACTTATTTCTCATTTTAAATTAATGACTTATTGACTACATTTATATTTCGAGATACACTAGTGTATATGAGAAATATTATGAATTTATTACTAAGTATCCTGAAAAAGGAAAATGTTTCAATGCAATGAATGGATAGACATCATAGGATATTATATGTATGTGTGTGTGTGTATATATATATATTCAAAAAAATCTATTTTTAATATTTATAAATAGACTCCTATAACTTTTAATATTTGTAAATTCACCCCCATAACTTTTAATATTTATAAATATGGCCCCGTATCCGTATCCTACTTTTTTTTGTTTTGACGTATGACCGTACCCGTTTCCGCGTTTCCGCGTTTCCAGTATCGGTGCTACATAGGCCAGAACAAGTCTTCTACTATCTACACCGTATCTTTCTTGCATAGTTGCATATGGGCTATTGGGTTTGCCTAATACTACTACTACTATTTTAAATTTGGACCTTTAACGTTTAGGCACTTTATCTATTGGGTTTGTGGGCCGGCCTTGACTACAAGGAGGGAAATTCTATTCACAGCCCTATTTTTACTAAATAGGGCCACTTAATTAACTCAATTATCTAATTTACCCTTCAAGTAAATGAGAACGTCGGAGCTTCCTCCTTCAAGTAAGAGAAATTGGGCGGTGTCCATACCATAGTAGCGGGCAATCTCATCGCTAGTAGCATGCCACGCAGCAAGGAGCTTGGAGACGATTGCGGCCGGTCCTGGCATGGTCTGTGGCCACTGCAAAGCTTGAGTAAGAAAAAGATGAGGAGGTAGGTGAGGGCTCTAGTGGTGGAGATGTTAAGCAGATGACCGGAATTCATTGCCTGCGGGACTTAGGTGGGATACGAAAGCTTCATGAATGTTGAGATTTCCATGTATCTAGAGCCGTCAAAACGGGCCGAAACCCGCGGGTTGGCCCGTTTCAACCCACTTATAAGTGGGTTAGGGCTATCATTTTCAGGCCCGATTGTTTTGCGGGCTCAGTGGGTCAACCCTAACGGGTTGCGGGTTTAGCGGGCCAACCCGTACGGGTTGCGGGCCAACCCGCGGGCTGAGGACAAATATAATTTATTCTATGTATTTTTAATTATATTATTTCTATATAAGACAATTATATCTTCTATTATACTCTCTCTTTACTTCTAGTTCTTTCCTCACTTCTAATACTAATGTATTTTGTTCATGATATCCAAATTAGACTAAATAAATGTATTTTTTATGTATTCGTTGCTATATTGTTTTATAACATAAGGACTTCTATGCTGTTTTATTCATGATATCCAAATCAGGCTAAATAAATGAGAAATTAGGTATTTGCGGTATTTCAACTTAATTATACCCACAATAATACATTAAAGCTTTTAAGTATTTCATCTTTTAACTTTTTAAGTATACCACTTACCCACGATGATACATTCAAACATACAACCAAAGGATTTTCAAGCACTAATTTTTTCCTTTTTAATTGTGTTTGGATTTTAATTTAGATATTTAATTGCTATTACAATTGTGTTTGGATTTTAATTTAGATATTTAAATATTTAATTGTTTTTTTGTTTTGACATTTATGGCCCGCGGGCTGGCCCGCATAACCCGTGGGTTAGGTGGGTCGGGTTAGGGTCATAAAAATTCTGGCCCGATAGTAAGCGGGTTGGCCCGCCCCGACCCGTGAAACTCATAACCCGCCGCGGGTCGGGGCGGGTCGGGGCGGGTTGGCCCGTTTGACAGCTCTACATGTATCTAAACATCAGATACAATTAGGTGAGAATTGAAATTTTTGTTAAATTCCGACTTGAAGATTTCAGTATTCCTAATTGAATTTGAGATCCAATTTGAAGATTTAAGATATCATCAGTTAGTTGGAATATGTGGCTGTGTGTAATGGCTAGCTAGTGAAATGATCGCAAACCAAAATTCAGACGGAAAGTTGGAAATGGCGTCACACAATTAGGGTATAATAGGAATTAAAATTTAATGTGTGTAACTAATAAAAAGAGGGCTGTGAATAGAATTGTCCGTACAAGAAAGAGATAAAGGAAGATATGAAACAATAGTGCTCCGGAAGACATACACGGAGTAGAAAACTCAAGCTCGGGAGACAAAAAATTTCACTTCCCGCTAGAGAAAATTTAGAAAAATTTCACGTTTCACTTACGCATATGAAAGGAGAGTAATGAGGTATTATGGAATAACCAATGCTTTAATGCTTTACATGTGATAAATATGGGGGCTTCTGTACTTTTGGGATGGCGGAGAGCACATGGCACCACGGGAGCAAGTAGAGCCATGGCGGCAATCGAGACTCGTTGGACTAAACCGGTTGTTGGAACGAGTTCAATGTTGACGGATTTATTGATGACAGTAGGGGAAGACGAGCCTAGGGATGGGTTGCGAGAGACCATAATGGAGAGTTTATTCGAGGTGGATGCGAATCTCAGATCACACAGCGGGATGGTTGGCGAGCATCTATCACGGAGACACTTGGTGTTCGAGCGGCACTCATATGGGCGAAGAATCAAGGATGGAATCAAATCGTGCTAGAGACAGACGCACAACTGATCAGACACATTTTTCATAATGAAACTAGTTTTGTTGCCCAAGTCTGTAAACGCACGAATAGTGTGGCCCATAAGCTTGTTAGGCCGCTTTATTCAATGCGGGTAGTGATTTTTTTTATGTTATTTTGCTTTGTATTTCGAGCCAATTGACGAATGATTGTTTGAATTAATATATGGTTTTTTCTTTTCACAAAAAAAAAGTTCTAATATAAGATGGTCACTACTTAATTAAAAAATAATAATTAGATGTGCCACCAAGTCCCCCCTAGATGAATTTCCTATGTCCGCCCATGTTTGAATGTAGCCACATTTTCGAAAATTGACTTCAATTCGATAATATTTAGGGGAAAACCTCATACATATGATTGCGTGTATTTACACTTTTTAATAGAAATAATGAGCAAAATAGTACTGTTGAGTTGTTGAGTTTTGGGTGGATAAAAATAAGACCTAATTTTAATTTAGACAAAAAAGAGACCAAAGTTACTCAAATGCCCTAAATGCTCTTAATGCAAATGAGCTGGGAGGTTGAGAGGGGGTGGGGTGTAAATTAAATATCACTAGCGGCGGCAATGTAACAGTCACTGGAGGCGGCGATGTAACTGTAACTGTCACTGGCGGCGGCAACGATGTAGTTGTCACTAGCGGATGCGGTGTAACTATTAATAGCGGAGGTGGGGTAACTATATCATTAGTGGTGGCAGCGTAATCGTTATTGTCCCTACTATAGAATCATTTTCCAAAAACAGTTTCTAACTGGCTACAACCTGATATAGCAGGTCTGTTTTAAATGTGAATTAAGCGTAAGAAATAATCCTAAGTATAGTCAATTTCTTTTATTAATCCCAATTATCAATTCTCAATTTTCGGAAGATATATTTTTATAAGTTTCCAAACTAAATGTTTTCAGGCATGTAAAAATAATTACGAATATTCTACAAATGTAGAATAAAATATTTTTTAGTCATTATTTATAATTTTCTTACTAAAATTTTGTTTTTCCTCTTCCCAATTTCTTTTTCTCAGTTGTGTTATCATTTTATGATTTTGTGTTATTTTCCATTATTAAAATTTACATTATCTGTTCTCAAAAAGCAATCTATGATTAAAAAATTATGATTAAAAGCTTTATTCGAGCTTTTTCATGAAAATATGTTTATTTATCTTTTTATGCCATCTTAGTTCTAAGAAACTAAATTTTCTATTTTTCCATTTTTAGTATTTTTATTTCTTTATGTTTTATTTATTTATACTACTCCTATTATAATCTATAAATTATACTCCATCCGGTTTTTAATAAACTTCACACTTTCCTTTTTAGGACGGTCTAAAATAAACTTCACACTTCCTTATTTCCTTTTTTGGCAAAGAAATTTATATCAAAACAGTGCCAAACAGTGTCAAACAGTGTCTCAACAGTGCCAAACAGTGCCTCAACAGTGTACTCTACAGTAAAGTCAAATTTCTTTCTTTATTTTGTGTGAAGTCAAAGTGTGAAGATTAAATAAAACTGGAGGGATCGGAGTATGATATATTTTATTGATTAATTTTAATGAATTGGGGTGTAGGTTATGGAGGTTATGTCTATTATATTTTTGATGAAAGGGTATTAATATTATAATTTTAAGTGATATAACTGGAATTGCAAAGAGGGGGGATAATAAATACACCGCAAACTTTGAAAGGGTGTTAGGTCAACACCCCAAACTTGCATATGTAATTTAAATATCTCAAACTTGATATAAAATGTTATTTTCGCACCATTTTCATGTATTATTTCTTTCCCAAAAAAATAAATTTTTGGAGTTAATAGTATAATTCAAAATAGAAAATTAAAAGTGTTTCAATTATATGCATTGGGGGTAACATTATTTATTTGGCAATGGAAGTTTAGAATGTTAACTGTGTCTTTATGAAAACTAAATATTTTAATTCATGCAATTCATACCATAAATTTACATTTTTGAAAGAAATAATACATGAAATTGTGTGAAAAATATTTTTTTGTATAAAGTTTGAGATATTTAAATTACATATACAAGCTTGGGGTTTTTATCTCACGTACTTCAAAGTTTGAAGTACTTTTATTATTTTTTCCGCAAAAAAAAATGTAGAAAAAACGTGATTTTTTGGTAAACAATTTTCCATTGTCGTTTCAAGTTATTCACACTATGAGATAACTTTTTGACATTCGAATATTACGTAAAATGTACAAAAAGTGTTGAGAAAATGAATATTATTACGAGTATTATTATTACTTAACGTTTGAGATTGGAAGCCTCATTGGAGAGGCTTTAATTTACTTGAGGTGTAAGATAAGAAATTAGAGCATCAGTTTGATGCTTCGTTGCTTTCCCACACAAATTAGTTCACCCCTAATTTTCTAGCATTATCATTTCTGACCAGCCTAGAGCTTTCAACTGCCCCACCGCTATAATAATCACACCAACCAACCCCTTCTCTCAATTCAGTCTCACAACCTCCTATCCGATTTTTTAATATATCGAATATAAAAGTATGGGATATACATTGATCGATATTCTTCTTCCACTTCGTTCATCTTGTTTTGATCATTTTTCCTTTTATACTCCCTAAAGTATATATATTGTTGGCTTTGTGTGGCAGGGTAGCTGCGCTGAAGGAGAAAGCCCGCCCCGCACTAATATGGCTCCATTTGGAAAGATGATCGCACTAATAATGATGATGGGTCTGGTTATGATTGTCCGCACAGTTTCCGCCACCGATCCAGATTTGCTTCAAGATGTCTGCGTTGCTGATCTCAACTCAAGTATACATATATGACTCATTTCTCATTATTTTATACTACTTCCGTCCCGAAAAAGTTCGGCATAGTAACTTTTTGTATTCAATGATGACAATTTGGTGAACCATTTTCGGGATTTTCTTAGTCAGTGATGTGGCGAACCATTTCGGGACGAAGGAAGTACAAACCTTATATAGCTAGTGGATCACATGATTTTGAATGTTTAAATTGAATTGTAAAATTGAACGTGGGCGGGCAATTTTCTCTATATATATATATATAGGTGTGAAGGTGAACGGATTCGCGTGCAAGAAGAAATTCACGGCGGCGGACTTCTCGTCAACGGCGATCGCGAAAGGCGGAGCGACCAACAATACGATGGGCTCGGTAGTGACGGCGGCGAATGTGGAAAGAGTCCCTGGGCTGAACACCCTCGGCGTCTCCATGTCCCGCATTGATTACGCTCCCCACGGCGTCAACCCTCCTCACACCCACCCACGCGCCACCGAGATCATCTTCGTCCTCGACGGGGAGCTCGACGTCGGCTTCGTCACCACCGCCAACGTCTTGGTCTCCAAGCACATTACCAAGGGGGAGGTTTTTGTCTTCCCCAGGGGCTTGGTCCATTTCCAGAGGAATAGCGGCAAAGCTCCCGCCGCTGTGATCGCCGCCTTCAACAGCCAGCTTCCGGGAACTCAGTCGATCGCCGCCGCCTTGTTCGCGGCGTCGCCCACCGTCCCCGATGAAGTGTTGACTAAGGCGTTCCAAGTTGGGACGAAAGAGGTGGAGAAAATCAAGTCTAGGCTGGCACCTAATAAGAAGTAAAGTAATTCCCACGTCGCACACATTTTTTCCATTATTATTATTTGATGAGATAATATAATTCAAGTCAAATACTCAAATACAGTTGTGATTTTTTTTTATACTGGTCAAATACAGTTATACAGTTGTGATTTATACCCACTAGTATTTCGAGCTATGAACCCAGCTCAACACAGTAGTACTCCGGATAATTTGTGTCAAATAAAGTTGTGATTTATATTTTATACTCCACTAGCGTTATCCTTCCATTAACAATTTTGATGGAGGGCATTTTGTCAGGTTGGGTGCAAAAATAAAGATTTTTAAAAACGGGGTGCAAAGTCCAATTTGTAAAATAAAATGGGATGCAAACTTATATTATCCCTAATAATAACAGAAATACTTTAATCTAATAACTTTGCTAGATGAATATATTGATAGTGTTGGATTAATGAAAAATATCAAATTGACTGAATGAATAGATGTAAACCGAAGGGAAATTTGATATATTAGAATGATAAAGGCAAAAATAATGTAAGGGTATATCTTTCATTTCATTCCTTTTTTTACTTAAAATAGAATCTAAAGGCAAAAATAATGCAAGTGAAAAGATATTTTGAGACAAAAAATAATAATCTAAAACCGATTGGGAGTGATGGACCAATGGAGCATTTTGCATGAAAAATGCTAAAGGTACCCCAATTGGTATCTCACCCTATTTTTGTGGCTCACAAAAGCACTTCATTAAAGTGAGGCAATTCATTTATTGAGGTGGGCCTTTGTGAGCCACAAAAATATGTTGGAGTACAAATTGAGGTATCAATTGGGGTATCTATAACAGAGTTGATTTTGCATTGTAGTAGATCTTATATGACCTGTCTTGAGTCAACATGTCTCTTTTTCTCTTCAATTTTTGGTTGGCAGTTTTTATTTATATTCAAACTGGGGTTGGTTCTTTTTTTGCACTTGAGCAATCTGAAATTTAATGGAATCAATATCGCTATTTTGCAACTCATTATAAATATCAAGTATTTGATTTGATCATATCTTATTGTATGTTCTTCTGCTTCAAGCGTTTTGTATCTCGTTGGAAAGATTGTTTTGAGTTCTAAAATCAAAAAATACCCACACATATATGGAAAGAGTTTGAGTTGCCTTGGTTTATGCCATGGTTTGTTGCACAGGCATAACTCTCGAGATATATTTGGGGAATTTTAAGCCATTTCATCCCAAAAATGGAGAAAAAACTGAAAAGTAAAGCTTAGAAGTAGATATATATATATTTAGTTATTTTTAATTCATTACATAAAATCTGATGATAAAAAGTACTCTGTATCATAATAAACGTGTTTGTAAAAGGCAATCGATTAATTTTTAAATTATCAAACACACATTTTTTCAAACGCGTCATTCATAAAGGTATCATACAAAACGCGTTTTTTGTCTATTGAAAGTCAGTGCTATTATTTAGGTCACAATTCCAAGATTTTGTGTTATGCAATTTTTACTCACATATTTAGGTTTTGAGATATTTTTAGAACAAACATTTATATCATACTTATTAGGAGTTTGGACTTTTGACAGAATCAGTTATTGACAATGTATAATAATTCACAACCCATCCAACCAACCAAATCGTCGTAATGGTAGTCTTGTGAAGGCGGAAATAATATTCAGTTGGCGAGAGTTCGAGTCCTTGGTGCATCCGTTCAAAAATTCCGGAGTTTACCACATTTGTTGGTTTGTAGCGATTTGGGTCCGATGCTTTTTTTATCAAATTCGTGGTTCGATAGCCAACCGTACCGGATTAAGGGCCAGTTTAGTGGGTTCTCGGTCGGGCTACTCAATCAGGTCCTCACAAGATATAATTAAACTACAAAGTTTATCGATTTCAATCGCATACCTCTAATTTTTCCCTCTCAATCTATTGCATCCCCTCCGCTTGCAATTTCATCCGCCACGGACCGTAGTCGTTGGCTCGTCGATGCGAGCCTCCTCTCTAAAAGTTTTTACTTTTTCGCATCCGAAAATGCAATGTATTTATATGAAAATACCATTATTATGTCATTATTAATATGATGTGACATTCTCGTTGGAGATCTGTACGGACTTGTCTGAAGAGCAGAGGCTTCATCAGAGGATGGCAACGGTGAACTCGATGAAGGGAGACCGTGGCAAACTTGCTAGAAGGTGGTTGGACCTAGTGCAAACACTTCTCACATAGCATCATCTTACTAGAATTCCTGGGCATCAGTAGAGGATTTTTTGGGGAAAAACAGACAGACTTTTACCAGGATCACGAGCTAAGAAAACTCTTGTATTATATAATTGAAATTAACAAGAGAGTGTACAAATAAACGGGTATCTCACTTCACACTTTCTAGTTGGGAATACTAACTCTTCCTCACTTATGAGAAGCCTTTCTTTCACGCCACAAATAAAAGGCTACAACATCTATTCATACTACTCACAAGGGGATAAAGATTCTCTTTCTCTAGAATCTTCCGCCTACCTCTATATATTCTATATTCTTTCAAGAAGCCTCTAAAACCTTTCATTATCTTCTTGAAGAATCTAGATGACTCCACACTTATTTAGAACACTATAGACTACTCTACAACCTTCTACGTATTTCTAGAGATTTCTACACTTTTCTAGAGACTAGAGTATTCTAGAAGCTAGATTCCATAACATTCTACACACATCTAGAGAATACTATATTTCTCTAGATAATTCCACAATATTCTAGAGAATTCTACTCATCTCCAGATAGTCCTAAAATTCTCTAGAATTTCACATAGTATTGGGAAATATTGAATAACATCCTAACAATTCCTCCCTTAATTCATATTTCCAAATATTTCAGTGATCTCCGAAAATTTGACTTTCTTTTCCTTGACTCCTCCGACGCATCTTCTTTTCACTGCACTGCCTTCCAAGAAGCAAATGTTCTTCTCATTTTTCCGTCCTCACATGAGCAAATGTCTTCCCTTAAACACCTTGCACCACTTATTTGTGTCAAAATACTTACACCCCTCCAATGTCAATGCATCCAACGAGATGACATTAGCTTTACTCAAAGGCATGTACCTCACATTATGGAGAATGTGGCTTGTACCATTATGAAGCACCATCTTTATGCTTCCAGAACGTTCAACCTTTAACTTCTCGCCGTTAGCTAAGTTGAAGTGACCGAATTCTCCATTAGTGATCAAGGTGTCAAACATGGTTTGATCACGACATATGTGCATTGAGGCAGCACTATGCATCACCCACTTAGATTTGGCAACCTCTTCACTTGTTGTTTAGTAAACATCACCATCATCTTCATCGCATACCGCATTAGTATGGGAGTCATATTATCCTTGCTTCGAGATGCCTCCCTAAACTTTTTCAAGTCCTCCCTCAATTCATGACATCTCGCTTGACTGTGACTCTTTTTCCCAAAGTAATAGCACTCTATGTCACTTAGATCTTGGCGCGGCCAAGACTTTGATCTCCATCCAGGGCTACCTTTCCCTCTTAAGAGGTTTCTTCCTCGCTCTCGTTCTCCCATAACTAGCATGTGATCTCTCCTTGTGTTTACATTGTTGTTCTTTAGCATCCTCTCACTCTCACGCAAAGCTGTCGTCACCTCATCTAGTGTGAGAGTTGTCCTTCCTACAAGTAGAGTTTGGACCAATGGTTTGTAGGACTTCGGTAGTGACGCTAATAACAACAATGCTTGCTCCTCATCTTTGATCTTGTCATCTGCATTCATTAGTTGACATACTAGTTGATTGAACATATTTATGTGATCATGAAGATTACCTCCTTCCTCCATTTTGAGTGAGTACAACTCCATCTTCAAGCATAATCGATTAGTCAGTGACTTTGATGCATAAATTCCCTCGAGCTTGTCCCACAACGCCTTCGGTATTGTCTCCTTTAACACACTAAACTTAATCTCGGGAGCAAGAGCCAACCGGATTGTACTCACAGCCTTACTTTGCATCGCACTCCATTCTCTATCACTCATGGAAGCGGGCTTCTCCTCATCTAGAGTTTGATCAAGACCTTGTTGCACTTATGAGAAGGCTTTCTTTCACACCACAAATTAAAGGCTACAACATATATTTATACTACTCACAAGGGGGTAGAGATTCCCTTTCTCTAGAATCTTCCACCTACCTCTCTACATTCTAGATTTTTTCAAGAAGCCTCCACAAGCTTTCATTATCTTCTTGAAGATTCTAGATGACTTCACACTTATTTAGAACACTCTAGACTACTCTACAACCTTCTACGTATTTCTAGAGATTTCTACCCTTCTCTAGATACTAGAGTATTCTAGAAGATTCTATAACATTATACACACATCTAGAGGATACTATATTTCTCTAGATAATTCCACAATATTCTAGAGAATTCTACTCATCTCCAAATAGTCCTAGAATTCTCTAGAATTTCACATAGTATTTGGAAATATTGAATTACATTCTAACAGGATTTGTCGAAGTCTGAGAAAACTTTTTAATTTTTTTCGTTAAAGGCTATTCGGGCATGTTCGTATATTTCTAATCCTATCTGTCATAGAAGTCTTTACATTGATTTATTTTAATCATATTTAAAGAATTCTATCTTCAAGTTAAGGTTCTTGCCTTAAGGAGTTTAAGGTCTTCCTCCGAATCTGTGATTCGTCAATCTTGGAGAATGGAGAGTTGAGTTTCTCTACTTTGGGAGATTGGTTCTTTTCCTGCTCCGTGAGCAGATTGGTACAGTGAAAGTTTTGTATGATCATTTACTTTTTTTCTTATTCAATCATATAATATATTTTCACTTTATTTTCATTTTCTTAAACTAAGATCCAAGTCAAAACGAGAAGAGTTTTAAGGGGTGGAGAAAATATATCAATTCTTTGAGCAGATATACCTACGGGTGGCTGGAAACCCCAGGTATACCGGATCCAGTTCAGGTTTGTGCTTGGATCGGTTCAGGACCACTATATACGGGACGAGGTATTAAAATGAAAACTGTCAAATAGGTCCTCGAACTTTCATAAAAAGGTCAATTAAGTCCTTCTATAGGAGGTTTTGTCCGGCCGTCGCGATTTGGGGAAGTTCCCGGTGGAATTTTTTGATGAAATTTTTTGAGGATCTTATTCACCAAGTCTAGTTTACTCATACCAAATTTCAGCTAAAAATTCAATCGGGAACACATTCAAATTAATTTTTGAAGATAACTACGCATTTTTGCGTTCTCGAATTAATTTGAATGCGCTCCCGATTAAATTTTTAGCTAACATTTGGTATGAGTAAACTAGGCTTGATGAATGAGATGCTCAAAAAATTTCAGCAAAAAATTTCACCGGGAACCGCCCCAAATCGCGACGACCGGACAAAGTCTCCTATAGAAGGACTTAATTGACTTTTTTTATGAAAGTTCGAGGACCTATTTGACAGTTTTCCCAAATGAAAACAAACAGAAGCGGAACTGGAAAAGATTAGAAGTTTGAAAAGCTATATTCCAGACAGAAAAAAGGCCCCGGTCCCTGTCAACGGTGAGTCAGTGATGCTTTTTAGCCAAATTTGTACTGCCTCCGTCCCATATTAAACTTTCAATTGCGGGTTACGAAGTTTGACCAACGATAAAGTTAAATGATTCCTGTGAAAATTCCGATTATTTTTAGTAAATAAAATTTACATATTCAGAAACTACATTGAACTCGCTACAAAACCTGCAAAAAGTAATTCAATTTTTTTAAAGTTTTGATATATAAAGTAGGAGTTTAAATGTGATTTGCGTTGACTCTCGAAAAGCGAAATGAAAGTTTATTTAGGGACGGAGGGAGTATTAGTTTTACCGAATACGAGTACATTACAAAAGTTGCTAATGGTTCATTAAAAACCCATTGGCGACACAGTAGAAGAAAGAAGTAAATAAACAGACGAATATACAGAAGTGAAGCAGAAGCCTGTTCCGTTTCCAAACACCAATCTGCTTGTTTGTTTGTCATGGTTGGGGTTCAATAGCAACTGCGAGTTGGACGGATATGATAAAAGTGGAACGCCCTGCCTCCCTGAGGTACTGAACATCCCCATTCATAAGTTTTACCAGCTTTCTACTTACAAGAAGGCTTATTCCCTCCTCCAATGCATCCACCTCACTACCAAACATTTGGGTAAGCAGCTCTTCGGGCACCCCACCTCCTGTGTGTGTTATTCTGCAAACATAACACTGCTAGTAAGGATAGATTGTGAAAAACTATTACCCCATAACTTTACAAAAAGCTATAACAGTCACACACAATCAAAGACTAATCTTGAATCACCCGGGCTGGCATATTTGCAAAAGAAGAAGAACGAACGGTCATGAACAAAAAATACTAACCACACGCATTTCAGTGACTAGAAGTATGTATATGCCATAGGTACTTTCATAAGAAGGGCTTTTATATTTTAGAATTAGAAGTGCTTCTAAGAAAAGAACCAATGTTGTGTTTTCTTAAATACTAACAAAAGGCTACTTCTTTAAAGAATTAAAAACCATTCTTTTGGAAATTTTGATTCTAATAATCCAACATTTTTCTGGCCTGCAAATAACAGTCCTACCCTTCACTTTCTTGAGAAAAATCCAACCCTTTGTTTCCCCTTCTGATATGAGTTCGCATATTATAAATTTAACGTAGAATTGATTCTTGGTGCATTCAGGTTCACTCAAAATATGGTCTTTATCTGAAGGACTTTTGAAACAATGTATTACTCTTAAAAAGTGAAATATATTATTCTAACAAAAGTGATAGCTTAGACTATTAGGGGTTGTTTACTTGTGACTTAATTGACTAAATTCGGATAGTGACTTAATCATTCAACCATTAAATCACATTTACCTGCACGACTTATTCACTCATTTAACTTAACTATTAAGGTAGTGGAACATATCTCCATCACATCAAGTCGTCTATTAATGCGTCTATTCAGTCGGTTTTTAAACCGTGCTTGAAATAGATGCAAATTAATAACTGCCATTACTCATTGACAACATAACCCAAAAGTAGTACTCCCTCTGTATTTTTTTTTGTTTGTTACAATAGAACTTTCACAAAGTTTAAGAGTGAAATAATAAGGATAGTGAATAGTATAAAAAGTAGGAGAATGATATGAGGCAGAATCTGGGCTTGGAAGAAGAGGGGCAAAAGCCCCCGTGGGTTTACCGAAGGCGGGACGGGATTGAACCCACCTTCGTGGGCTGGTTGCGGGCTGTTTAATTAATATTTATTATTCCTTTTATTTTATTTCCTAATTTAATTTGTTTCCTAGTAAGATTTATTTAGGACTTCTATTCTTATTAGAATTAGATGTTTCCTATTTCTATTTAGTTTCCTAGAATGATTTAATTAGGAGTTCTATTAGAACTAGAGGTTTCCTATTCTATTTTAGTTTCCTAGATTAATTTAATTAGGATTCCTATTCTTATTAGACCTAGAGGGTTATTTATACCCCTTGTATGCTTCATTCTTGATAAGGAGGGAATAAAAGTTGGTTTAGCCTTTTGGCTTTGGGCAACGGTATTTATTTATCGTTGATTATCGGGCAACGGTTCACCCCGTTGATTTTATTTTTTTTTGTTCTTATCAATTGGTCCGTCCTGCCGGATCCTGTCCCGCCGGAATGACGAGATCTATCAGTGAATATTTGTCAGAGATGGTGGCCAAGCAAATTCGGATGAATCAAACCCTAGAGGAGCACGGCGTGCGTCTGGCAGAGATCGCCGCATCCCCGGCAGCGCTTACCAAGGCTTTCGTTCCGCCAGTCACGACGGAAACCAGCCCTGACGCGGTTGGCAGCCCCACCGTATTTGCGCCCAGCAGCGACGGACAGCCGCGCAGCGTCACTTCCTCCTTGACTGCGCTCACAAAGGCTCTCACGCCACCAGCGGCGGAGGAGAATTTATCAGCGATGGCTTCACTTGACGCGGCAGCAACATCCACGTTCGGAACTGGACTGTGCAACACTTCTCTCACGATGCTGCCCTCGTTTGACGGAGAAGACCCGATCGGATGGGCTGCTAGGGCTGAGCATCAAATCGAACTGAGCTGTACTCCGCCGTGAAAGAAGGTGGCAACCACTGTAGTTGTGATGGAAGGGTCAGCCCTGTACCGGTTGACCTCATTACGGACACGAAAGTCGGGCATGTCATGGGATGAGCTTACACAAGCATTGGTGGCTCGTTTTGACTCACGGTTTAAGGGCAATTGCTTTGAACGGCTGTCCGGAGGCAAGCAGATAGGGACTGTTGAGGAGTACATCTCAATTTTTCCTAAAGATACTGGGCAGCCACCGGGAACAAATGTCAGCCAGTTTCCAGATTTCAACCTTGAGGACAAGGTTTTTTCGAAGGGGATGGAATTGATATGAAGCAGAATCTGGGCTTGGAAGATGAGGGGCAGAAGCCCTCGTGGGTTTACCGAAGGCGGGACGAGCTTGAACCCACCTTCGTGGGCTGGTTGCGGACTGTTTAATTAATATTTATTATTCCTTTTATTTTGTTTCCTAGTAGGATTTATTTAGGACTTCTATTCTTATTAGAATTAGAGGTTTCCTATTTCTATTTAGTTTCCTAGAATGATTTAATTAGGAGTTCTATTAGAACTAGAGGTTTTCTATTCTATTTTAGTTTCCTAGATTAATTTAATTAGGATTCCTATTCTTATTAGACTTAGAGGGTTATTTATACCCCTTGTATGCTTCATTCTTGATAAGGAGGGAATAAAAGTTGGTTTAGCCTTTTGGCTTTGGGCAACGGTATTTATTTATCGTTGATTATCGGGCAACGGTTCACCCCGTTGATTTTATTTTTTTCTGTTCTTATCAGAGAAATGGTAGAAAAGTATGAATTAGAAGATGAAAAGGTAGAAAAAGTAAAAGTAATTAAGTATTTTTAAATGGAAAAATTTACCAAAAGGGGAATGTGTTGCAAAAATTGAAATTCTTCCCAAAAAGGAAAGTGTAGCAAAAAAAGAATATTAAGGGGGTATTAAATTGATTATTTTACTCAATTCAAACTGTTTATTCAACTTGCAAAATAAACAGTCTCATAGACATATACTCCGTATATCCTTACAAGCAAATCAAAAAAGGGTTGGATTATTACACCTTACGGACTCCAAAAATGTAAATGGTCCATGGCTTAATTATGCAAGGTTTATCAAACCGGTCAAAATAATATAGTACCTGGATTCCAAATGAGCAAGCTGGACTGATTCTCCCAAACGATCTTTTGTTAAACTAGATGTGAGTGCAAGATGGCCTCCAGTTGGGGTGAAATTCGCAGCTACTGACAAAAATTCAGCAAGGACTTGTTGAAGCCTCAGACTATCTCCATATAATGTTTGACCAAGATTAGTTTCAGCTACGTTACTAATAATCCTTAGACTCTTTCCATTGACCTTTGTCATCACTTGACTAATTGAAGCAAGTAAAACCTCATCTAGCTTAAATTCAACCATCTCTAGATCCAGATACCTGCATTTAAGAAGAACAAATACCAAGTCATTGCCCACTGATAGTAGAACAAAACAAATAGATTCAAGAAAGAACGAATGTCACAAAAAGAAGTAATTGTTTTGTAGTGGTTAAACAATAATTCTTCATTTGCTAGCCTTATTCAGCTTACCAGCATAGGAACTTGAAAAGAAAGAGGTGGAATATTCGCAGTGTAGTTAAGCATTAATGCTTCGTTTCGTAACCTTATCCAGCTTATTCTGCTTATCAACATAGAAAATTGAAAAGAAAGACAAGTGAAAAAAATTCAGGGTAGTTAAACATTAATGTTCTGTTTGGTATCCTTTTCCAGCTCATTCTACTTATTAGCATACAAACTTGAAAAAGAAAACGAAGTGGAACTTTCTCAGCACAGTTTAACAGTAAGGTTTCATTGGAACTTGGGAGCCTTCCTTATTCAGCTTATTCTACATATCAGCATAGAAACTTGAAAAGAAAATTCTCAAGGCAGTTTAATATTTAGTTTCCATTGGCAGCCTTACCCGGCTTATTCTGTTTATCAATGGAATAAGTAGCTTTTACTTATCTAGGCCCCAATTGGTAGCCATGATTGGCTTATTCAGCTTAAATAAGCCGAATAAGTAGCTTTTGACTTACTTATTTTGCTGAAATGGATGTTAGCTTTCGTTATTACCTATGAAGCACGGAAAATCTCCGTGGCTCATGTTTCCCTGTTTTGAAACTCAGAAGCGTGTTTGAAACTTCAAATTCCCGTTTCGGGGCCATTTCCATAATTAAGAAGAACTGGGAAACCCATTTCCCTAAATAATTAGCGTTTAGAAAATCTTGGATTTCTAATTTTTTGCGTTTTAAGAGACTCTATGATGGAAAATAGTGTCTTTGCTAAAATAGTGATTTTTTGTGGTATTTCTTCCTTACCAACATTGTGACAAATCGTGACAATGTTAGAAATGTATTGCATTTTATATTTAATTATGTACTAACATGCTCCGTAATGATTTCTAAATTTGAACATGTAGAAATTTTTATTATTATTGGATTATTAAACAAGTTCTATGAAAAAAACTATATGGATATATATAAATGAAAAAACTTGTGTACATATATGAAAAAATATTTATAAATATATACTTATATATTTTTAATATTTACATGTTTTCCCCACGTTTCGTATCCTATATATGTAGTACATTTTTAGAAACTATGTATCAAGCGTTTCTCATTCCCGTTTCCCATTTTCGTGCTACTTAGGTTTTTACTTTCATAAAGTTAAGCCGATTAGCCACTTCAGCCAAATAACCCTCGTCAAACGGGTCAGCGAAAATTTATGCAGATAGGTTTATCTAATTATACCCCTCGATGATGCAATCAAGATCCATGTCATCAAGAACTCTACTGAGCTGTTGCAGACACTGACCACTGCTATGCAATATGTTCCTCTGGTCTTTTCCCAAATCAGTGGTTCCCTCCAGCATATTTTGGGAGAACATAATTCCAGAAAGAGGGTTTTTGACCTGCTTTCTTAAGTAGGCTAAAACTTTTAACCTCTTCGCTGCAGCTTGTTCGGACAATTTTTGAAGATGAAGGGCTTGTTGCAGTTCATGGCTCACTAACTGAAGAAAACAAAACAGCCCCTTGACTGAATCCTCTCCGTCTAATCTTTTGCTCACGGAAAGCAAGCACTCCACATAATTCCCATTTTTCTTAAAGAAACCAAGCACGGTCTTCTCGGACTCGTGACCTGCCATAGCATTGTTCAGAACAACACCCAGTCTCACAAAAGTCTCTTGATTTTTGAGAAGACAAAAGGCTTTCTGGGTCCCGAAAATCTCACCCAATACCATCTTGTCGATGACCTCATCACGACGCCATCCAGATAAATTAGTCATTGCTGAATTCCACTCGGAACACCAACCGAATTCATCTGTTCCAAATATAGGCGGAATCAAAGGGTTAGGGTTTTGGATAATGGACTTGTAATCTCCTTCCATTCGTGTGAACTTGTCCATAACTGTCTTTTGTCCGGTTATGTCCTGTGCTATGAAACAGACACCGACCACATTTTCTTGAGCATCCCTGCTAGTACAGGTGTTCACAATTAAGCTGATCGGACCATATTCTGACATTTCCCCATATGTTCTTATCTCGAACTGCACATTGTTTTGTTCTCTCCCTGGTAACATTGTTAAGAGAATGAACAAGAGGATCAACAAAGGTTCCTGTCTAAAAGATGATTTGGAACTACAAATATGAAGAGTGTACAATGTACATTGCTTATATGGTACACAAGAGAAATGCAGAAGAAGAAAAGAAAGAGTGAGAAGAAATGAAAATGTGTGTTGTTTGGTAGACATAAAAAAGAGATATAAAAGAAAGAGAATGAAATGAGTGTTATTGTTAAAATGACAAACATGCCATTCAATTTTAAAACAATACTATGAAATGAGAGGAGACTCCAAAAGGAGTTAGTTCCTCATTCCTTCCCTGTGCTTTGCTCTCCCAACAAGACATGAACTCTTCATCCTTCTCCTATCACCTCCCTCATTATCTCTTCTTTATTTCCTTGGGAAAAAACAATGGCAAGGCAACATAATGCCTAGGTGATTTTTTTTCTTACTTTTCAGCAATGACGAAAATGCATCACAAAGGTCATAAATAAGTACTTAAAAACACGTACCCTCTAATGCCAAACTCAACATCTTTTCAACTGCATGAGCTGAAGAGTCTTCCACGAGTGTCAGCAAGTCCTTCCCAATCGCTGCATCAACCGTTAAGCCGGTCAACTCGGCAATTTTCTTGTTCCACCCATTCACCAGGCCATCTACGCAAACAGCCAAGATCGGCACGGTGGCCGTCTCAATGAGACGAACCATCTCACCCGTCAAAGCTTCAAGTTCCCCCCTCCCCTCAATCATCAGGTCACTAAGTCTTGTGTGGATCCCAATCCCATCCATACCCTCCACCTCCTCCTTGAAGAAAGCGTTTCTCATTATTAGCTGCAAAGAATGAATGCCGTCCATCTCGTAGTCCTTCCAAGGCGAACTCCTCATTTTAACAACTTCAAGAAACGCTTTAAACGATGATCTCGGATGCATTTTCTTCCCACCATCTTTCTCGCCCGGTTCATGTTTTGCACCGCCCCAGAAAATTTCAGACACTTTTTGGGACCGGAACCAGAAAAGCCAATCTTTTTCAGATAACCTGACAGAAGCCATCCCACATATTGCATCACTAAGATAAACCGCCCCTGGGAAACCGGCTTCATAGAGGCTATCTGTGCTAAGGCCGGTGGAGTCCACATGGTACTCTGAAAGCCAAGAGAGAATATCATTTAACTGGAAATCAGTAGGAGTGACTCCCAATCTGTGTATCTTACTCTTATACAGCAGAACAGCACCGTCACACTTCACAAGATCCATCATATTGGGACTCTGAGACACAATGCCTAATGCCGCGTCCCTAAGCAACATGTCACAAAGGAGTGTTTGGGTGCGTAAAATGCTCTTCTCTACAATCTGCATTTCCAACTCTATTTCTTTGTTTACATGAATGGAAAACACCTGGGCAAGAAACTCGCATGCATACCGAAGTGGAAAAGGGATAAACCTCGGAGTTGTGTTGTGACACACCACCAACCCCCATAGCCTTTTCCTCTTTTGCCCCTCCTCACCTTCTTCGTCACCCTCATTTACCACTACTGCCATTACCAGAGATGCTATGCAGCTCATGTTCTCCATGTACTGTAAATGGCAAGCGTGGGGTGCCCGAAGCGTGGACCCACACAGTGTTAAATCAGATGATAGCTTCTCATCTTGAACCACCCTCACAAGTTTTGCTTGGGAATCACATATCATACGGACCTTATTCTTCATGAAAAGAAACCGTGCAGCTTGAGGGATATCGGTTGCTGGATAATGCAGACCCAAATAAGGGTCAAGCCCAGGTTTGGCTATCTCGGAAACAACCTCTCCGTGATCGTCATCGTGAAACTTATAAGCCATCACCCTATCATACCCTGTTAGCTCAAACACTTCTTGGACCATAGTGTCACACAGTTTTGCCATGCTGCCACTTGGCAAGGACTGCAACCGCGCAATGGCTTTTGCGGCAAGCTTGTATGATTGCAGAGCTCCTGCAGCAGTCATTGGTGCTTTGTAAGGTTTCACCGGCTCAAAGTCAACTATCAGACCACCAGTCACCCTATGGACAATTGCATAAAATGGCTTCCCGGAAGTTTTGCAGTGGACTAAGATGGGATTCAACAGAGCAACCTCTCCAAATCCCAAGGCCTTCTGCAATGCAGTTCCACTCGGACCAGTAAAAACGGTTCTGAAATCAGTTCCAATACCGAGAACAGAATGGTCCCCAACGCTCGGAACAGCGTGGTTGACCACTGTTAGCATGTCAGGAGCATTTCCACTGAATGCTATGACTTTTAATGTTTTTTCATCCAGAGCTAACAAACAGCCGAATGGCTGGATGAATTTGGTTTTTTGGATTTGATGGAGATAGGATGTGGTTACTTTGTCAGACCTCGGTTTCTGCTCTTCGGTTTTCATGCCTGTGGCTCGGATTGAGCTTGAGTAATCAAAGGAATCACCTGATTCCTCAAACTCAGCATGGAGCTTAGCATCTATGGTTGTCTGTTCTATGATCCTAGCACTGCGTTTTGATTTTGCTGAATTGCTAGAAGACTGACTAGGCCTGGAAGACGACATTTCAACTCAAATCTGAACAAAAGGTGCAAAAAGAATAATTCAAAATGTGAAATACTCCAAAGAGGCAATGATCAAGGTCAACCATGTACCACAAGGAAAGCATAAACTAAAACCATTGCTATCATCATCATCATCATCATTATAGAACACCCAGTTACAATAGAATCATAACTGACTAAATTCCTTCCAATACTTAAAAAGGAAACAACTTCAATTACAATAATAGGGAGGAGATTCAAATTTAAAAAAATTGAGAGGTTTCAGTGCGCAGAAATGCAAAAGAACTTCAGCTTTTCATCCAAAAAAAGCAAAAGAACTTCAGCTTAAAGAATAAGATGGTTTGTCATGCGCACATACATTGAAGGGGAAAAACTCTGTCTTGCAGACAACAAGAAATATAATGAAACAAGAAAAGATCTAGGCGTCTTGGAAAGGATAAATAGCTAATGGGCTAATGGTGGGATTTCGTTAGCAGCTTTAGACCATAAAGAAACTCACATTTTCAATTGCTATAAATTCATATACAGAAGTACAACTTGAAAAGATAGCTAGTAACTAGGAAATAGATTCATTAGAAAAGTACAAAAAAACAATAAACAGAAAATCAGCTTGAGTACAAATATATCTTCACAATCAAATTAGAAAAGTACACTTTCCTTTTTTAGAAAAGGTACTCCGTACTTAATATGCAACATGCATATGTTGGGTGCATTGTTTGACTCAAGGATTTTAAAGATCACCAATTGGTGGTACAATCTTTTAAGTGAGAAAGGCTGATTAGCCGACCTGTTTCATCAAGACTGCAGAGATCCAACAGTTGAGCTTTCAGATCAAATTCTCGAACTACAACAGAAGGATGAGCTTGAGGAAGTTCTCATTCCATTAAAGTAATCAATCACCGCCATACCTGATACCTTTAATCCTATACATTTTATCCTCCTTGGGACTTGCTTACAGCGGGAATCTCTAGTACAGAAATCCATACCGAAAGTGATGAAGCAAGTGGATTAAGGTAGTGTACTGTTTGAGTTTGATGTGTTTTTTAAAAATTATTCCCTATTTTTTTTACTAAAAGTTGGCCGTGCTTGAAAAAGAATTTTGTTTTTGAAACATAAAAGTGATTTTATTAAAATGAAAGTGTAGTTCATACTTCCTCCGTCCCGCTAAGATTGTCCCATTTTATCTATTCGAGATGTCCCACTAAAATTGTCTCATACCAAATTTGGTAAAGTTTGTGTGGCTCTAAATCATTCTTACTTTATCAATTTAATATCAGAGATTCACCCAAATAGGACTAAAACAAGGTAGAATTGCAAAAATAGGACTACTATGTTTTATTTTACAAAAATAGGACTAAAAAGATATAATTTGACAAAGCTACCCTCTGCAATCAATCGCCTCAATTTATCTTCCACCCCAATTCACCTTTCACGATTCTTTGCTCTGCCATGGCCGTGCTCCGCAGTCCGCATCGATCGTAGCCTCGCAGCGACGCTCTGCCATGGACGACCTCTGCTGCAATAGCGAAGAAAGGTACGCAATCTTCCTCTTCTTCTCCTTCTTCTTCCTCTTTCTCTTCCTCTTCCTCTTCTTAGTTCTCTGTTTTTTTTTTGTTTTTTATCAATCAAATTTTAAATAAAATTTTGAATTTTGAAAGTTTCAAATGAGGATATATCTGAACTTGAATGTCTTGTTATCAATTTTTATTTCTTTGAATCTCAAAATGTTCTGTCTAATGATTCCAGAAAATGTCACTTTTTGAATAAGAGAATGTCATAATTTTTGGGTATTTTTACAAAATGCCACTTTTATGTCATTATAATATTTGAAAATATCATATTGAGAATGTCATGTTTCTATACGAAATTGTCATTATTGTCATATTAAGTGGCATTCTTAAACCATGTCATTTGCATATGGAAAAAATGTTAGTTTCAAGCTAACCTTAAATGTCATCTTGTGACATTTAAAAAATGTACTGTGATGTTAAAATAATGTTGGCATTTTGGAATAGAAAGATGACATTTGCAGTTATTAAAACATGCCATTTATTTTTAAATGATGGAAGTTTCAAATTAAATTGTCTAAAATAATATGAAATTCAAAAGAAGCACAAAACAGAGAAGAAAACATAGGGGAGGAAGAAGAAGGAGAAGAAGAAGATGAAGAAGAAGAAGAAAAAGAACAGGAAGCTAAGAAGAGGAAGAATACCTGATTTTGCAGCAGAAATTGTTGAAGAGGTGGCTGGTTGCGTGGAGCAGGCAACTCCGATGAAGAGGTGGCAGAAGAGGAGGGCTGAATCGCAGGTGTATGATCGAAATAGGTCAAGCTGCGTCCATGGTACCTCAGTCGGAAGAGGAGGGTTGAATCGCAGGTGCAGGATTGATGACAGAGGGATTGGGGAAACGTGATTTTGGGATTAGGGGTAAGAATGTAATCTGGAGTCCTATTTAAGCAATTTAAAACTTAAAGTCCTATTTTGGAGTTTTAACCATGTTTTAGTCTCATTTAAGATAATTTCTTATTTAATATCAACCACACAAACTCAGTTTTCTTAATAACCGTGCCACATTTTCATGTCTCAATCTTAGTGGGACGGAGGTAGTACGTAATACGGAGTATATTGTTAAAATACGAATATGCCCTCAAATTGTATAGTGAATCCAAAAATTAAATGAGTAAGGCTAACCGCAACCCAACCCGTCAATAAATTAAATTTCTCATCAATTTATATGTATTCACTCCGTCAATTCAGTTTTTACTGCAATCCAGCACTGTCAATATTTTCACCCAGTCAAGTTTTTTTATTACATCAAACTTTTTACAATATTTTTTTACAAATAATTATGATTTAAATAGTCAAGCATTCCGATGTAAACTTACATAAATTTGCAGTTTATTTTTTTAATGTTTCTTTGAACCTATTTTTAAAAAATTAAAGATGTAAATAAATTAATCATCATATCTTAATTTTTTAGCATTTGATTTTTTTTAAAAAAATGGGCCTGAAAACCTCCGATAGATGAAACTTCATATTTGTTTTATTTACTTTATACATACCATATTGGTGTCATATGAAAAATCATAAAAAAATCACAAATTATTATAATTTCCTACGCTTGCTCTCCATTTTCCCCTGCGCAGACATTATTGAGAACAATTTTGTTCACCCTCATTTGAGAAGGTTATGTTCACCCCCACCCCTATTTGTCTGACATGTGGCAAGGCAATACTTCACAATTTGACAATTGTTTTATCTTTTTCTTTTTTTTAACCATTTTTAAAAAAATATATATCAAAATTTTTCTTTTTTTACGATCTTTAATATGGTACTGATATTGCATATAAAAAAAATTTAAAAAAAATCAACTAAAAAAATATATTTAGAAATAAATGGTTTTTTTTCAAATTTTTATATATACAAAATTGATATCATTGGAAAGATCATAAAAAAACTAAAAAATCTGATATAATTTTTATAAAAAGTAGACTATAAATAAAAAAGTTATAATATTTTAAAGAAAAAATGAGATGAAATGCCACATGTCAACCATAGAGGAAAGGGGATGAACATCACCCTCCTCAGTGAGGGTGTACAAAACTGCACTCGACATTATTGCTCACCCTTTCTCCTCAGTGAATAACCCATCTAATTCCCACTCACGGGGTGCTCCCAACCCACTATGACACTCGTTTGTACATTGGATTGGAGTAATTTTTGGGGTGAAAAGCTCAAATATGACTTATTCATCCTTGGGTTGCAGGTAGTCTAGGAAGAGATAAGCTGACTCGACCCTCAAGAGTTGCCTCTTTTTTCTCTTCCATCATCTATTTATGTACTCTTTTCCTTTAAAACTTTGTCAAATTTAATCGACACAGGTATTAATAAAGTAAAAATTGTATGGTTGATGTATGTGCAAAGTGGAGAGAATATTAATTAACTGGAATCACAAATTCTTTACTTAAACGGAAAAGTGACAAAGTTAACAGGACATCCAAAACAAGAAAATTGACAAAGATTTAAGGGACAAGTGCGTATAAGAAAGCAATAGACTGTTCCACATAAGGAATACCATTTTGCCCGAAGTAATGCAACGTGTCTTCATTTTCAAGTTTCACATAAGGCCACATTCACCATTTGAAAGAATTTACAGACTTATTATTATTTTACTAACTTGAAAGATGTGGGGCCCAACATGAAAGAGATACTCTTTTCTTCAAAGTTTTACGGAGTGTAACTTTGAGATTCTTTTTTCCAATTTTTACAAAAAAAAATCGAATGACACCAATATTGCATGTGAAGAAAGAGAGTTTTATAAATATAGTACTTAACTTATTTATGTACAAACAAAAATCTACTTCTAATTTAATATTTGAATTAAGTCTAAAGACATTTTTACCATTGCCGAAGAAAAAAGAGAATATTTAAGATGGGATTCTTGAAAACCATGTCATCGAAGCAAAAATCGTATCTAAAAGCAACACAGAAGATATTTCATTCACTGCATGTGTATGTTCCCTTCTCAATTATCATGTCCATTTAAATTTGTGAGAAGAAAAAAATTATATAATTTTCTCCTTCGCTGTGACAATCAACAAATTATCACAATGTCAATGACTTGAAAGAGTTAGAATATACATGTCAAGACCTGGTTTTAGTCACGACCAATTGTATGTCACACTATTGAGAATTCAAAGCAATTATAAACGAAGAAAGAGAATAACTAAGTTGTGATTCTGTAAACAAATTGGATATAGCTGAAGCGGAAACATTTGAAGCATTGACATCGGAGTTTTTAAGATCCTTGAGAACAACAGTTCTTCTGAATCACAAGATAAGCCTTAAAGTTATGATTCCAATAATATTGTTATGAAATTAGACATATCAAAAGGACTATGTAATGGAACTAAAGGGATTGTTACAATACTTGGAAATCATGTCATCGAAACAAAAATCGTGTCTGAAAGCAACATTGTTGAGGAGATTTACATTCACCGCATGTGTATGTCCACATCTCAATTGCCATGTCCTTTTAAATTTATGAGAACTATTGAGAAGACAAGTTCTTATTATTATCTCCTTTGTTATGACAATCAACAAATTACAAGGTAAAAAAATTACAAGGTCAATGAATGAAAACACTTAGATTATACCTATCAAGACCTATTTTAGTCACGGTCAATTGTATATCGCATTATCGATACTGCAGAGCAAGCATGGACTAAAGATTTAAACGATAAGGATGGAAAATCATTAGACATAATTACAAACGGCGTATGTAAGGAGACTTTTCAAAACCTCTAGCAACTAAGATTAATATTTTATTATATGTCACCACTAATTTAATTAATAAGTAGCAAGGCTTTATTTAACTAATATGTGTTACTCTTAATATTTATTGTGTTGACTTAAACTTTATACCAATCACTTATTGTACTCACTTTTTTAGAATAATTAATGTTTTATTTGAAAATCAATATAATCATTAAAATTAATAAATAACAAATTTTAATGAATGGTATATATCAATTATTTTTTCCCTAATATACTCTTCATTTAATATTTATTGTATGTAGTCATACTTTGGTACTAGCTTATGATACTCCTATTTTTGAAAAATGTAAAATCCTCAAACTTTATTTTATTTCAATATTTAATTAGATCAAGAATAAATACATACATTCCCGTGCGCATGCGGTACTAGGGGTGGACTGAACCGGGCCGGTTCGGGCCTCGGGCCTGGGCCCGGCCGGGCCTCGGTTCAGAATATGGAGGCCCGAGCCTGAACCGGGGGTGGCCGGTTCCGGGCCGGTTCCGGGCCAGACCGGGCCGGTTCCGGGCCGGGCCACCCGCCCTATTTTTTTTTTTTTTGGCTTCTTTATTTAAT